GGCACATGCCACCGCGTCCAGCTAATTTTTGTATTCTTAGTAGAGATGGGGTTTCACCAGGTTGGCCAGGCTGGTCTTGAACTCCCGACCTCAGGTGATCTGCCTCCCAAAGTGCTGGGATTACAGGCATGAGCTACCACACTCGGCCCAGCATTATTTATATTAATGTGTAACAGTGTCTTTAAAATGTGTACACTGATCAAATTACTTGAGATTCAGAGCCTTTGGTCTTATATGTAAATTCACTTAAAAACATCTACATTATGGCCTCAGGGCAAATAGCTTATTTTGTTGATTTCATTGTCAGTACACCTATTGTACAGTAGTGCATTCTAGTTTAAAAAAAAAAAAAAAAAAGCTGAGGCCAGGCTTGGTAGCTTATGACTACAATCCCAGCTCTTTGGGAGGCCAAGGCCAGAGAACCACTTAAGGCCAGTCATTCAAGACTAGCCTGAGCGATATAGCGAGACTGTCTCTACAAAAAATAAAAAAATTACATGGGCATGGGTGGAATGTGCTTGTAGTATAGCTACTCGGGAGGCTGAGGCAAGAGGATTGCTTAATCTGAGGAGTTTGAGGCTGCAGTGAGCTATGATGAGGCCACTGCACTCCAGTCTGGCCAATAGAGTGAGACCATGTCTCTTAAAAAGAAAGCTGAAACAGTAAATTATTATGGCTATTTTCATTTAGATAGTTCTGTCATTAAATTACCAGGTCAGATGTAGTAACACATATGCCATGATTTAATTCTGAGAATCAGGTGTATTAGTCTTTAGAAGTGGCTATATGAGAAGCTGAAGATAACATGGACTTGTCTTTTTATTATGACAATGCAAAATACTTGAGAAGGAAAATTCTAAACAGCATTTTAAAATCACCATTTTTGCTGCTAAAAACATGGGTTAAGAATCTGATAAATGTCCTGCTGGGCGTGGTGGCTCACGCCTGTAATCCCAGCACTTTGGGAGGCCAAGGCGGGCAGATCACAAGGTCAGGAAATGGAGACCATCCTGGCTAACATAGTGAAACCCGTCTCTACTAAAAATACAAAAAATTAGCCGGCCGTGGTGGCAGGCGCCTGTAGTTGCAGGTACTCAGGAGGCTGAGGCAGGAGAATGGTGTCAACCCAGGAGGTGTAGCTTGCAGTGAGCCGAGATGGCGCCATTGCACTCCAGCCTGAGTGACAGAGCTAGACTCGTCTCAAAAAAAAAAAAAAAAGAATGTGATAAATTTCCCAAAGCAGTTACGCTTAAAAAATAGTCATATTGTCATGAGAGTGGGGGTCTTACATTTTATCATTTAGCTTCAATAGCAGTTTGCTAAATAACACCATTATTAACAACAAAAGAAAAGAGGGGAAAAGGCACAGAAA